TTTATATATAGGGTATATTAGTTGCGTTTACCCCTAGCTAGCTCCCTTGGGCCCTGCCCCGCTTGCTTCAGCTGCCGCTGAAGCTGGTGTCTTCGTCTTGCTTTGGTCAGTTGCAGCAGACGCTGCGTTTATTTAAATTTATTTTCCTAGAATGCCACAAGTCGCCACATCGATGCGCAATTTGTTGATGCAACGTGCAACGTGCAACGTGTGGCAAGTAAGCAAGTAGCAACTGATGCTACAGCAGCAGCAGCAGCAGCAGCAGCAACTGCGTCTGCGTATGAAAATTAATTGCTGCCACTCGTGACGATGGCTGCTGCTCGATCTGCCGCCTGCGCCCCGCCACTTGCCGCTTGCAACATTGTTGTCTCCTGCATCTCGCTCTGGCTCCGGCTCTTGCTCCTGCTGTTTCCCTCCCTCTCCCTCTCTCTCACTCGCTGGTTGTCGGGCTGCGAGTGGGCGGCCTATCGTTTAGATTTATGGCTCTCGCCGTCTGCGAGTGTCGCGTGATAAGTCTATAAAATGTTCGTTACATTTGTATGTGCAAATGGCTGTGGGATGGCATTTGCATATCGCCCAAAACTGCCCACAGAACTCACTCTCTGGCACTGCCCCTCTCCCTCTCCCTCCCGATCTCTCTCCATATGTTTCTTTTTCAATATGTGCCCCTTCGTGGCTTGGTGAAAGGCGCCTGCATGTGGGCCGCAGTTAATTGTCTTTCATATGTGATGAGGCCACATGCGATTGCGAATCCCGGTGAAAGGAATACATTAAAAAGCAGTCGAGTGAGAGAGAGAGAGAGGGAAGGCGGAAGGAAGGTGTTCTCCAACAGGTGGACTACACAGTGGCAACTGTTGCTGAAAACTGAAAAAAAAAGGAACTCTCAATCACGCCAACTGCCAAATGCTGCTTTGTTCAATCAGCCTTTGCTTGAATCCATCAAATTCGAACAGTTCCACTTGCACTACCCAGCCCAGTTCCAACTCCAGTTTTAGTTCCAGCTGCTGCCCTGTGACACATTGCACCATTAATTTGATGGATTGTAAAGTTTCTCGCTTCACCAACTTTGATGTCCCCCCAAAAAAAAACGAGGAAGGAAAATTGTGCGAGAAAAAAGGGAAAATTAAGGCGCACATTTGATGACAGCTAAGGCAGTGGTTGCAGTGAAGGCGGGCGAGGGGCGTGGCGCAAATTTATGCCTGCCCCAACGCTAGACGCTTCACTGAGTTTCTGTGTGTATGTGTGTGTGTGGGGGGTGGGGAGGAGGGGGGTAATTCACTTGATGAAGGCAACAAATGGATCATCGAGTGGAGCGTTGAAAGCGCTTCATTTGCATTGTGGACACGGCCGAAGGAACTGAGCGACGCCTCGGTGCAGATGCTTTAATCGGAATCGGCGACAATCGCAGCATTTGGGGTTGTCAAGCTGTGCGATTTTACAGCGGAACTAGTTCACGTGAACTTTTCAGTTTATTGCTTGGATCTGTAGTTGAGACTTACTTAGATAGACATAGACTTAGATAGGCATAGAAACATTTACATATTACATTACATATTTCTTTTCTTTGTCAGATATGAAATGAGCTAGTTCTCTCTCTCTCTCTCTCT